ACGCACGGACACGACATCAGCCGACGCACAACTTTTCTACTCGGATCTAGAGTTCATCCGGACTGACCGAAAAAGGCCAAACTAGGGTTCTCTACTCAACCGGCTATCTATCCCGGTTCAAGTCAAAACTCAAACTTTAAGTTCAACTCGATTTCTAGTGATTTTAGCCAAGTCTCAACCGGATAAATTCTAAGGTTTTCACCAAAGCAGCTAAAGTTCCGAATTTGTAGGCATACCAAACAACCTCTAAAAATTATGAAATTTAAACCACGTTATACTCAGCATTTATAGGATTTTTTGTGAAAGTTGCATCGAATTCCGAGGTCTTATCATATTTCTCATAAATCGGGCATTTCAGCTACATATTCAAAAATCCAGTTAACATACTAAACGAGCACCAAAAATTACGAAATTAAAACCTAGGCCTCAAGTCAGCTATACAAATTTATCATATTTATTTCGACATTTTAACGCGTTTATCGAAAAATATCAATTTATTCGCTTTAAGCTCGTATGTACCGATCAACTCAAATCAACATCTCATTAATTTTATCTCGTATTTATCATCAATTTATTCCATATATTTCAAGCTTTAGCCAATATACCTCAAATGCTCGAACAAAAAGCGGATCGACTAGGGAAATGGAAGAAAAATGGAGCAAGAATCCGGTCGGTTCTGACCGGTCCAACTAGGGGTTGCTTAGACCGGATTTTTGGGGCTGTGGCAGCAAACCGGGTCGGTTCTCACGGATCTGGACTGCTGGACCCGGGTTTGAGGTGGATCTGAGGAGCTGATGGGTCGGAAATGGTGATGGGCTCGATTTTTAAGCTGGTTCGGGTCTGAGCTATGTTGGTCGCCGGGTCTGGACTGCTCAGTCACGGGCAGTGTGAAGGAGCTTGGTCTGGTCGGAGCGACGCGGCGGAGCTGCTGGTTCGTCGGGAAGGAGGACGCCGAAAATGGAAGCTCGCCGAAAACGCGAGCTGGGGGTCACCGGCGCGACAGGAAGCTGTGGGTTTGGTCGGAGGACGCGCGAGTTGCTCGGTCACGGCTTGCCTGGACGTGGTCTCGAGCTCGCCGGGAAGGTCGTGAACTCGCCGGAAAACGGAGCTGGAGGAGCTGCGGGCTGGACGGGTCTTGAGCTGCGGGCTTGGTCCTAGTCGTGAGCTCGTGGTGGCGTGGAGTTGTGGCTGGGCTGAGGTCGCACAACTCGGTTGAGGCTGGACAGAGATGCGAGCTCGCGTGGAGTGGAGCTGCTCGCCGGAAAACGGGCGGTGGTCGGCCGGAAATGGTGGTCAAGCCATGGGAAAGCTTATGTTCTTGGCTTGAGAAGGTGGGTCTTTGATTTCAAAAGCTAGCTCTTTGAACAAGCTAAGACATGGTGTGGATTTTTGGACTGGATCTTAGAATTGGAGATGGTGATGGTGTTTGGATCTTGAAATGAAGGTGGTGAAGATGGATGAATAGTAACTTGGGGGCTAGGGTTTCTTGTTGTTGTGTTGGGAGACATGGGGACATGATATTTATAGGAGGGTGGGGAGCTTAGGGTTTTGATCTTGTTGGGATTAGTATCGGGCCTAATAGCTTGGGCTCGATTTAGGAGAATAAATACCGTTACTTGGACCGAATAAATAATGTCGGGCTCGATAATATAATTGCTACTAGGCTCGATTATTAAAAATACTACTTGGGCTTGAAAATAAATAAATATGCAATTAATATTAATAAATCTCCGCATAATTAAAATAATACTAATTTCGATAAATAAGTCGAGCTACTAATATAATTTTAGTCCGGGGTGTTACAATCTATCCTCCTTATAACATTTCCGTCCCCGGAAATGACAAAACTAAACATAAGGCCAACTCGACTAAAACTAGAAACTGAAAATACATAATACGATACTACTAATCAGAACTGGAAATCTGGATAGCGAGCTCGAATCTCATCCTCTCGCTCCCACGTGGCCTCAGCCTCGCCGTGGCGAGTCCACTGGACTCGAACGAGCACTACATCTCTGCTCCTCAGCTGCTGAACCTTTCGGTCCAGAATAGCAATCGGCTGCACCTCGTACGTCAGGTCCTGCCCGACGTCAAGCTCACTGTAACTCAACACGTGCGCTGGGTCATACACTTAATCCTTCAGCATCGAAACGTGGAAGACGTTGTGCACACCCGAAAGCTCGGGTGGCAACGCCAACCGGTATGCGGCCTCACCCACTCGCTCGAGGATCTCGAATGGGCCTAAGAAACGGGGCTGCAGCTTCTCCCTCTTCCCGAAGCGAACCACGCCTCTCAAATGCGTGATCTTCAGGAATGCCTTATCTCCCTTCTCGAACTGGATATCTCGTCTACGCTGGTTAGCGGAACGCTTCTGTCGATCCTGTGCCACCTTCTCCACCGTGTCCTCGATCAGCTTCGGACCGAGAACCTGCCGTTCGCCGACCTCATCCCAATAAAGGGGTGATCGGCACTTGCGACCGTACAACGCCTCGTACGGTGCCATCCTGATCGACGCCTGATAACTGTTGTTGTACGCGAACTCAATCAACGGCAACAACTCCTCCCATGAACTACCACGGTCCAGAACACATGCTCGAAGCATGTCCTCGAGTGACTGGATGGTCCGCTCCGACTGCCCGTCGGTCTGCGGGTGGAAAGCGGTACTGAACCTCAACTGCGTCCCCACGGCCTCGCTGAGGCTCTTCCAGAACTGACTGGTAAAACGGGGATCTCGATCTTACACGATGACCTTGGCGACTCCATGAAGTCGCACTACCCTGCGGATATAGATTGTCGCGAGCTGGTCCATGGACATCGTCATCCGCACGGGCAAAAAATGAGCCGTCTTCGTCAGTCGGTCCACAACTACCCAAACCGCATCATGCTGCTCCCTCGATTTGGGTAGTCCCGTAACGAAATCCATGGTAAGCTCTTCCCACTTCCACAGTGGGATCTCCAAGGGCTGCACTAAACCCGGTGGAAACTTGTGCTCGGCTTTCACCTGCTGGCAAACCAAGCACTTCTTCACAAACTCAGCAACATCTCTCCTTATGCCCCTCCACCAAAACAACCCTTTCAGGTCGTGGTACATCTTGGTGCTGCCGGGGTGCGCCAAATAGGGTGCACTGTGAGCCTCGGTCAAGATCTCCTTCCTCAGGGCCTCAACATTCGGCACAACGAGCCTTCCCTTATACTCCAAGGCACCATCCGCGCCTCGGTAAAACCCCTCTACGCCCTCGGCAACAGCCTTCGCCCTCATGGAATGGACGAACTCATCAACGGACTGATCTCTCCGAACTCGATCTCGGAGCATGGGCCACACTCTCATTGACTGAACACCTCCTACGACAGGCATCGTAGGAAGTGAGTCGACGACGTCTAACTGCATCCGAGCGAACTCTCGAAGGAGCTGACTCTGCTGGGTGATCATGCAAGTCAACTCGCCCCTCGCCTTTCGGCTAAGGGCATCAGCTACCACGTTCGCCTTCCCCGGATGATACTGAATGGTGCAATCATAATCCTTCACTAGCTCCAACCATCGCCTCTAGCGCATGTTCAGCTCCTTCTGCGTGAAGATGTACTGCAGACTCTTGTGATCGGTGTAGATCTCGCACAGACCACCATACAAATAGTGCCTCCAAATATTGAGTGCGTGGACTACGGCCGCCAACTCAATGTCATGAGTCGGGTAGTTCTCCTCGTGGGGCTTCAGCTGTCGCGAAGCGTATGCGACAACCTTGCCCTCCTGCATCAGCACGCACCCAAGTCCCTGCTTCGAAGCATCACTATAGATAGTGAAACCCCGTGTAGAGTCCGGAATAGTCAGCACGGGTACCGTAGTTAACCTCCTCTTGAGCTCCTGAAAGCTCGACTCTCAACGGCTACTCCAATCGAACTTAGTCCCTTTTCTCGTCAAGCGTGTCAAAGGTAGGGCTATCTTCGAAAACCCCTCAATGAACCTCCTGTAGTAGCCTGCTAACCCGAGAAAACTCTGTATCGTAACAGACCTCGGTACTGACCAGTTCCTCACTACCTCGATCTTCCCGGGATCGACCTCAATGCCCTCGGCTGTAACAATGTGACCGAGAAATGCCACTCGATCGAGCCAAAACTCGCACTTCGAGAACTTAGCGTACAGTCTCTCCCGCCTAAGAGTCTCCAACACGATCCTCAAATGCTCCTCGTGCTGGGTTGTGCTCCTCGAGTAGACCAAAATTTCATCTATGAAGACAATGACAAACTAGTCCAAGAATGGGTGGAAGACACGGTTCATGAGATCCATGAATACCGCCGGCGCATTGGTCAAGTCGAACGGCATCACGACAAACTTATAGTGACCGTATCGGGTACGAAACGCGGTCTTCGCCACGTCAGACTCCCGAATACTCAACTGATGGTAACCCGAACGAAGATCTATCCGGGAAAACACACGGGCACCTCTCAGCTGGTCGAATAAGTCCTCTATCCTGGGGAGTGGATACTTGTTCTTCACCGTCAACCGGTTCAAGTCCCGATAGTCGATGCACATGCGCAGTGTCCCGTCCTTCTTCTTCACAAAGAGGACAGGTGCTCCCTAAGGTGAAACGCTCAGCCGAATGAAGCCGAGACCCAACAACTCTTGAATCTGAGCCTTCAACTCCTGAAGCTCCTTCGGCGCCATACGATACGGCGCTTTTGACACTGGCCCAGCTCCAGGCAGCAGGTCGATCGTGAACTCCACCTGACGGCTAGGTGGTCCTCCCGGTAGCTGATCCGGAAAGACTTCCACAAAATCTCTCACTACGGGTACATCTCCGGGCATGCGCTCCTCCGAAGGTTCCCCGAGTATAGTGACTAGATAGCCCTGACAATCCTCCCTCTGTAGGCACTTAGTCGCCTTCGCCATGGAAATGATATGCGGTAAAGTCCTCGTCCTCGTCCCGAAGAATGTGATGTGGTCTCCATCGGCTAAGTGCAACGTCACCTCTCTATCACGGCATCGGATGTCTGCGTGATATCACTCCAACCAATCCATGCCGAGAATAAGGTCAAAGTCCCTCATCTCGATCACGAATGCGTCTACCTCTAGAGTTCTGCCTCCAATACACATGCTAAGGTTCTTGGCCAGGGAACTCGTGACTATCTTCCTCCCCGAAGCTAGGCTGATCTCGAGGGGGTCGACGTCACTCACACCCTGAACCCCTATGGCCTCTAGACACTTGGTCGAGACAAACGAATGTGTCGCCCCGGTATCGAACAAAGCAAAGACAGGTACATCGAGTAAAAAGAGCATGCCAGACATGGTACCTGGCTGCTCGGCGGCCTGCTCCTGGTCAAGTGCGTAAATGCGGGCAGGTGCACCTCGAGGTGGGTGCTGAGCTGGCTGTCTCGGTGCTGGCTGCCTATGAGCTGGCGGTCTCTGGCCCTGCTAAGGCTGTGGGCGATCTGGGCAGTCTGCGATCCTATGACCGGGCATGCGGCAACGATAGCAAATGTCCTGCCCAGCTAGGCACTCTCCCCGGTGGGCGCGCTGACAAGTAGCGCAAATAGCTGGGGGCTGCAGGACCGGTGGTGCTGCCTGAGCTGGGGCTCCTGGTCGACGGTTCCTCTTATCGTCGTGACCTCTCCACTTCCTCTTGTGTCGGTGCTGCGCCTGCTGAGGTGGCGCTGGCAGGGCTGGCTGGATGGCAGCTGGCTGTCTGGCTAGTGGTGCCACTTGAGCTACTGGCTGTGCAGGAGTGTCTAGCAACTGGGATGCCTCAATCTGCTGAGCCCGCTCAACGGTCTCAGCATAAGTCAAATAGCCATGGCTGGCTACGAGCACTCGAAGGTCTCTGGTCAGGCCATTGCGGAAACGGGAGGCCTTCTTGTCGTCGGTGTCCACAAGGTGGCGTGCAAAGGCGCTCTTACGAGCGAACTCCCGCTCGTACTCCTCAACCGAGCGGTCTCCCTGAAGCAAGTCATAGAACTCTCGCTCCATCCTCTCGCGAAAGTGGCGAGGGTAGTACTTGGCCTCCAAAATCCCCTTAAGCTGATCCCAAGTCAGCTGGTCTCGCTCGTCAGCTGTCCTGAGACGCCAGTAGTCGTCCCACCAGTCTCCGGCCGCACCCTCTATCTGAAACTCGGCACAAGAGACCATGTGCTGGTCGGATATGCCCATCATCCGGAAAATACGATCCATCTTGCGGATCCAGTCTCCGACGGCCAACGGGCCCTCCTCTCCAGTGAAGACCGGAGGGGCGTAAGTCCGGAACTGGGCTGCGACTACTTACTGATCCCGCTCTGCGGGTGGGGCTCTACGGGCCGGCATTCTGAATAGCCAAATAACAACTTGATTAGTATAGCCAATTAATAAATAGCCACACTACTTGACGAATTTAAGTAATTTACCGAAAACACCTAGCTTGGCTAGAGTTCCAGTTTCTGCTTAACTCTACTGATTCTAGTTCAAATTCTGATAAAGTCTAGAGTTGGACTTAGATAAACTTTCTATAATTTTGTCTAAAGTTCTCTTTCTAGTCGGAGGATAGATGGCCCCTAAGGTTTCTTACTATAGTCTCATGCACTTGCAGAAATTTAAAAACTTAGGTGACTTACCTCGGAGTCGGCACGGCGTGAGCGTGGCGTGGTCATTCTTTTCTAAACCTTTTAAGTATACAGAACCACAAAGTGGCTCTGATACCAACTGTAACACCCCGCCTAATTATTTCTAGAATTTATAAAATCAGAGTAAAATTTTTTGCTTTTTATTTTCGAAAAACTCTTAAACTTTATTTTCGAAAATACTCATACTAACTTGCGGGATGCTACTAACTTAAACTCTTTCTCATGCAGACGTAAATAAATACATGCAACCTAATCAAATCCGTTATATAAAGGTACCACGAAGATAAAGGCATTATACATGCATAAGTCTGATAATCTCATAATACATACTAAGTCTGAAATGTGCGGAAGCTGAAACATAATATGTCTACGCATAGTAATGATAGTACATGTTCAATAAATGACATGCAGATGCGTTACAAAAAGACTGCTAATGACCACGACCACCACTAAAATTTCACGCGCCACGCGCCGCTCTGTCACCTGAAAAACGTAGTGGGGGCGTGAGCAAAACCACTATGCTCCGCAAAGACCAGTACTTAATTATATAGCATCGTTAATAACAATATCATGACTTTAAGTATATAAGAACTGATCTGAACTGAAACTGTAACTAGGGCAACTGATGGTCATAAAGATCCTGGGGCTTAAAAGCCAATCATGTGCACACTCCGGGGGATCATTAAGGCCAATTAAGGCCTCCCTCAGAATCACGGGGGATCATTAAGGCCCGCCAAGGCCTCCCCCATGATGATCTAACTATTTCTCATACATACCTCGAACATGGTACGGAAATTAAAGATGATGTATAACCAGTACATGACCCCCACCTGATAGCTGCTACTGCTAGGCAAGTGCTGACTGACTGGTAGCTGTCGGAGGCTCGACTCTCCTTAAGCTACATAAATATTTGAGCAAAATGTACTAAGTACTAAGCTCAAATAAAAACTTGATTCTTATTATTAATAGATCTTACTCGGTTCTCTCGCTCGATTAAAATATCATTTAATCTGGATTTAGATGCTTTGAGCTATTCTGAAAAGATTTGTTGACTTGAGGCGTTCTAGAGTTCTCTGAAATATTTCTAAGTCTGGTCTGCTTATCTGATTTATCTGATCTAACTTATCTGACTGATCTGATCTTATTTATCTGACTGGGTGCAACTCGACTTAATCGTGGTCCGGGTGCATACGCACGGACACGACATCAGCCGACGCACAACTTTTCTACTCGGATCTAGAGTTCATCCTGACTGACCGAAAAAGGCCAAACTAGGGTTCTCTACTCAACCGGCTATCTATCCCGGTTCAAGTCAAAACTCAAACTTTAAGTTCAACTCGATTTCTAGTGATTTTAGCCAAGTCTCATCCGGATAAATTCTAAGGTTTTCACCAAAGCAGCTAAAGTTCCGAATTTGTAGGCATACCAAACAACCTCTAAAAATTATGAAATTTAAACCACGTTATACTCAGCATTTATAGGATTTTTCGTGAAAGTTGCATCGAATTCCGAGGTCTTATCATATTTCTCATAAATCGGGCATTTCAGCTACATATTCAAAAATCCAGTTAGCATACTAAACGAGCACCAAAAATTACGAAATTAAAACCTTGGCCTCAAGTCAGCTATACGAATTTATCATATTTATTTCGACATTTTAATGCGTTTATCGAAAAATATCAATTTATTCGCTTTAAGCTCGTATGTACCGATCAACTCAAATCAACATCTCATTAATTTTATCTCGTATTTATCATCAATTTATTCCATATATTTCAAGCTTTAGCCAATATTCCTCAAATGCTCGAACAAAGAGCGGATCGGCTAGGGAAATGGAAGAAAAATGGAGCAAGAATCTGGTCGGTTCGGATCGGTCCAACTAGTGGTTGCTTGGACCGGATTTTTGGGGCTGTGGCAGCAAACCGGGTCGGTTCTCACGTATCTGGACTGCTGGACCCGGGTTTGAGGTGGATCTGAGGAGCTGGTGGGTCGGAAATGGTGCTGGGCTTGATTTTTAAGCTGGTTCGGGTCTGAGCTATGTTGGTCGCCGGGTCTGGACTGCTCAGTCGCGGGCAGTGTGAAAGAGCTTGGTCTGGTCGGAGCGACGCGGCGGAGCTGCTGGTTCGTCGGGAAGGAGGACGCCGAAAATGGAAGCTCGCCGGAAACGCGAGCTGGGGGTCACCGGCGCGATAGGAAGCTGTGGGTTTGGTCGGAGGACGCGCGAGTTGCTCGGTCGCGGCTTGCCTGGACGTGGTCTCGAGCTCGCCGGGAAGGTCGCGAACTCGCCGAATAACGGAGCTGGAGGAGCTGCGGGCTGGACAGGTGGCATGGAGTTGTGGCTGGGCTGAGGTCGCACAACTCGGTTGAGGCTGGACAGAGATGCGAGCTCGCGTGGAGTGGAGCTGCTCGCCGTAAAACGGGCGGTGGTCGGCCGAAAATGGTGGTCAAGCCATGGGAAAGCTTATGTTCTTGGCTTGAGAAGGTGGGTCTTTGATTTTAAAAGCTAGCTCTTTGAACAAGCTAAGACATGGTGTGGATTTTTGGACTAGATCTTCGAATTGGAGATGGTGATGGTGTTTGGATTTTGAAATGAAGGTGGTGAAGATGGATGAATAGTAACTTGGGGGCTAGGGTTTCTTGTTGTTGTGTTGGGAGACATAGGGACATGATATTTATAGGAGGGTGGGGAGCTTAGGGTTTTGCTCTTGTTGGGCTTAGTATCGGGCCTAATAGCTTGGGCTCGATTTAGGAGAATAAATACCGTTACTTGGACCGAATAAATAATGTCGAGCTCGGTAATATAATTGCTACTAGGCTCGATTATTAAAAATACTACTTGGGCTTGAAAATAAATAAATATGCAATTAATATTAATAATTCTCCGCATAATTAAAATAATACTAATTTCGATAAATAAGTCGAGCTACTAATATAATTTTAGTCCGGGGTGTTACACTACTTCTAACAAGTTGCGGAATATTTGTGGACAATAGGCCAGGAGATTCAAAATCAAAACATTTCAAATTATCATGCTATATTATTTTCTAAGAAAATACGTAATTATAACACATAAACTCCCGATTAAGTGTCTTTTTATATTGGAAGTTTTTATTTCTAATTATGTATCGTTTCAGACTATTCTTTTGTAATAGCCCAGCTTCTTGTTATTAAAAGTAATGTATTTTCTTTTATTATTCTCGTTCAGTTTCAGCGTTTAAGTCAATCAAGTTCGACTTTAAGTCGAAAGTCTATTCGGTTGAATTATTAACCGAGTCGAATTCGATAATTAATTTCCGAACCGTTTATTTTATAAACGGACATTATTAATCGGGATTAATTATTAAATGTTAAGAATGTTGGGATTTAATTTCGAGATTAAATTCATGTCTAAGTCTCGGAATTGAAAACCATAGCACGCACGCACGCCGTGCGTTTCCATGCGTAGCGCGCGCGTGATGACGGATCGTGTTTTTATCTATACGTGGGTTGTGAATAAACGCGCACTAGGGCCTTCTTTCATCCACGATAGGTGTATCTAACAGATGCACTATCGGCCTTCTCCTAGACACTTTGACTTCAAGACTCTCTAATGGCCTTCTCTCCGACACTGTATGTAAACACGCACTAACGGCCTTGTTTAAACACACGTGAGAACAACAGTTCCCCCTCACAATTGGCTCACCAATTCAAGACTCAACATTAAACTCTATTAATTGTGGAGAGTACATGGGGTATTTATAGGTGCATAAAATAAATCTAAGACTAAATAAACGGCTTCGGATTTCCTGCAACACATTTGCTATGCCATTTCCTGTTCCATTAATTATGGAGTGACACCTGTACATTTTAGTAACTAATATGTTGTTCCATAAAAAAATATAGATTTAACATTAACGCCGTCAAACTCCCGTTAACTTAAAGGAGGGAGAAAACAGTGAAAACACTAAATGAATAAATTAATGCACCATCTACCATATATTTTTTATTTCTCCCCAACTAAAATTACTGCTCACTTTTTCTTTTCAGTCAACTCCTTGAAGAAAATAGAGAAGTAAAAAAAAACAAAAAAAAAAAACATTCACAAATCATCAACTCTACCCATCATTCTCGTTTCATCCTAATGCAAGAATTGAGAAACTCTTTAATGATTAAATATTGTTCCAAGTTTTTCTTGAGAAAATGGGTGTTCTGGATCTATAAAGCAAGAATTTTAAAGAAAGAAGATAAAAGCTAAAAATAAATTAGTTATGATCAAATTTTAATTGCCTTTATTTTGTGTTTAATCATATTGTTTCTATTGTAGGTTGTTATTCTGGATCTTTGTAGAGAATGTTGATTTTGAAGAAACAAGACTAAAGGTAAAGCAAATAAGCTAGCATCATTTATTATTATTATTATTATTATTATTATTATTATTATTATTATTATTATTATTATTATTATTATTATTATTATTTAACTTTTCTTGTTTCTACATATAGGTTGCTCTTTGTATATAATCTTTGTTACATGTTTTTGGATTTTGAATTTATTTTGTAAAACTTTAGAGGAATGGTGTTGTAGATTCACAAGTAACAACAGTGGTACAAGCGGTATGAGATCAAATCAATACAGTTGTTTTAATTTACTTTCTGGAAGTATTATATTTCTTAGTGTCACATTAGAAATTAAGCACAATAAATCCCTTGAATTTTGTATTAACTATATTATTAATTGTAGTTAAAAATATAATTTATGAATATCAATATGAGAAAAGAAAAAGGAAATGCAATGATCAAAATGAATGTTACCAGTATGATCAAAGAAATAGAAAACAAGATTTTTTTTTCTACTAAAAAAAATAAGATGCTAATAAAAATATTGAAGTTTCTTCTAAATCTCGAACTCCTTGTGCATCAATACTTCCAACAACATGTTAAATGTTGCTGTTCTTCATATGTGATACTCTTTGTCTGACTCTTGGAAGGATTTTTGCATCTTGGAAGGGTTTTGGGACTGAAATATTTGGGTCTGGGGCTGTATAATTGGAATATATAAGTTAATAAACAATTAAATCTATATTCTTTGCTTAGATGCTATATGAAAAGATTAACAATGTGAATGATTGATACCTGTAGCATATTTGACCAATCACTCTTGTCATGTTTATAATTTGTGGGAAAAATGTGTGGGGCAGCAACTTGCTGGTTAATCCATGGAGTTGTTAACTATACAGACAAGTATCTAAGTTAGATAGATCAATACATATATAGTAATATTGCTTCATCACTCAGTTAATGGAGTTATTCTAATCTAATATCATACTTGTTTTTATTTATTTTGGTAATGTGTATGAGAATGAAGATTTATCAATGGGAGAATCCATACTCCAACCACACATAGAGACAATGAAGAAGAATGAAAAAACGATAAAATAAACTTAATTTGGTTAAAACACAATAAGTAAAATTAAATAACACTTGACCTGAAAATGTTGCACAGGAGTTGAATGAGCAGGAACTATTCTTGACTGGAGACAAACATTCGCGTTGATGCTACTTGAGTTAGCTCCAAGATTCTACAAATAAAAAATTTATCAACTTCATGAAAATGAAAAGAAAAAAGTAAAAACAAAATATGATATGTCTTCTGATTTAAATTCTTATAAAATAATTACAACACTAACATTTTCTTGTGGTAGACTTGATGAAGAAACTCCAGTACACTTTGTTTTCTTTTTAGAGGCCTTCTCTAGCCCACCTTTTGGTCTTTTTCCTGACCTCACTCTTGATTGTTTGCTTTTCCACCCTTTTATTTTAATATCATTATTTGAACTCCTTTGAATGTTCTCCATATGCATTGTTTCACCAGTATTTCCATCTCGTACTCTACTTGTGAATGCTTGGCTCACAACATCATTTGGAGAAACTACGGGCGTTGCTCTATTTTCCAGTTTCCCATCAACATTTTCAATCATCTTGAGTAGAGCATGTTTTGCCATTTCATATGTTTCTCCACTCAATGCAGCTTTGGTGGCCAGTTGGTTGTACAACATACACAGTTCTTTATAGCGCTCTCCAATCATCATTTTATCATTTAACACTTGCAATTCATAAGTCTCATGCCTCGATTCGTATATACAGGACAAATTCTTAGTTGCTCCTTTTTTTGCTTTTCTCGTCCACCTCTTTTTAATGTAGAGCTCAGGAATTCTTACGATGTTTCTGGTCGTAAGCACTTTGAGAGCATGGGCACACAAAATTCCGACAAACTCAAATTTGCAACAGCTACATGATACTGTGCATTCTAATGAGTCATATACAACAGTGTTTTGATACCTCTTCCTGAAACATGTGATTTTGTAATCATATTTTGCACCAAACTCTGAAGAAAGCTCAATAGTTGAATCGTGTGCCTTACACAACTCAATTTGAAATAATTTAAAGACTTCATGTGTGTACACCGTTGATGCATGCTTCAGAATTTGTACAGGAAACGAGGGTGTCGGAGTGCTTTGACTTGTTCTTAAGTCTGCTTTCAGCTCTTCATATCGACGATCATCAATCAATCGACTAAAATGCCGAAAAAATTGCAGTAAGTTATGCTTATAATTTACGTACCTCCTCAAAGAACTATTCATGCTCTCACTACGTTGAGTAGTAGTCATATCAGCACAAAATGTTTTTCGTCCATATACTAGTGCCCATTTCTCTTTTATACTGAACATTCTTTTTAACCACTCATTATTCTGGAGACCATATTTATTTAACATGTCATTCCATGCATTTATGAAATCTTCTTCATCTTCCCAATCATATATACAAGAACTGAAATCCTTGGAGAAGTCTTTAAAGCTCGCGAACACACTACTAAGGTGGATTGCTGCATTTTGATATATGTGCCATATGCACAAACGATGATATGTCTCAGGCCATTTATGTGCTAATGCTTTTGCCATTGCTGCATCTTGATCCGTAAGAATAGTTACAGGCTTTTTACCAGACATAGTTTTAGCAAAAGTATCAAAGAGCCACATAAAAGTTTGAGCAGTTTCATCATATAACAATGCTGCTCCAAAAATGATAGTTTGCTTATGGTGGTTGACACCAACAAAGAGTGCAAATGGTCTCCCTTCTTTGTTTTTCCTGTAAGTAGTATCAAAACATACAACATCTCCAAAATGCATGTAGTCGACCATCATTTGCCCATCTGCCCAAAAAACATTTGTTATCATATCATCACTATCAACTTGAATCGCATGAAAGAAATTTGGGTCTTCAACCTGTTTTTGTTGCAAATATTCAAGCACTCCTCCTGTGTCCCCCACTCTCATTTCTACAGTTCTCTTTGTACGCAAGTAGTTCTTGTAGTCCTCCATGATGAATCCAACATTCTCACGCCCTCCTGCTTGACGAGCCATATAGTCTAAACCGGCTTTTGGCGGTATCCCTGAAATATCTATACTTTCAATTTGTGCAGCCTGTGCTGCAGTGATATGTCTATGGGACCTCAACATATGGCATTTATTTGGACTAACCAAACCGTGTCCACTATGATCAGAGACAAACTTGACAATCTCATATTTACCTGAACGACGTGAACTGATTTTCATTAATGCGCCACATCCGGTTCTTATTTCTATATGATGAAACTTGACATTCACGACCCTTTTATCTTGTTCCTTTTTACCCTGACATGCACAACAAAATACCCGATCAAGAATCTTGCCATCTTTGTTTTTGTGAGCCGTGTGTCTTCTTATACTAAAACCAGCTAGGCTCGCATATTCATTGTAAAACAGATAAGCATCTTCTTCACTTTCAAACTTCATGCCCAATAATGGAGTTTTTGCTTCTAGACCGACACTCTTTCTTTCAACTGTAGGTTTTTCTGCATGACGTGGTTCAAGTTGTCCATCTCTATTTCCTTCACTTGCGGGGTTTTCACTATATTTGAAATCATAATGTCCATCTCCATCTTCACCATCCACAGACAAGAAGTCATATTGTTTATCTCTGTTTTCTCCATTCTCTATTGGGAAATAATATGATGAGTAATCATCGAACTCAAAATCCAATCTTCGAGAAGGTGCACTTTTACTTTTGTCCATAGCCTTCAGAATAAGTAGGAATATTCATAACACAAGCTTATCAAATTATAACATACATTTGCACAACACTCACTGCAAACATTTTTTTTTTTCTTTTTACAGGTGGATAAAGGAAGGTCAAGTGAGACTCAACTTATAAGCTTGTCCATACAAAAAGAGAGAAGACACAAAGATTCAAAAGGCAGAATAAAAAGTAGACAAGAGTTGTGAATGAATGCCTATCGTTTAAAAAAAAATAAAAAAATATATGCTTTCTTTTGTCTGCACATAGAACAATAACAGGATGAGTACTTGAATATTTCCAAATCATATTGCTTGAATAAGAATGCTTAGACAAAGAAAGCATGATTTTTAAACACTTTAAAAATATTCAAGCACTTCTCTTGTTCTTTTAAGAAATATAACACAGAACAATAATACCAATCTTTGATAAATTCATTCATAATTTTACATTGGCATGAACTTGAATTTTTTTAATGTGGGCGTACCTCGATCGTCTATGAATCCTTGGACATTCACTTTTTTTTTTTCAGATGAGAAACTATCAAATTGTGATTTTAATTTGATTATTTCTCTAATGATACCCTAATGGTGGGAAAGAGTAGTGGTGCACGTTTTTTTCCCAAGAATTTTCTCTCTCTTATAAAGAGTCAAAAGAGAGAATTGACGGACGTTTATATTATTATTAAGGAAATTTTAAATAAAAAAAAAAGTTCCAAAAATTATGGTATTAGTTACTAAAATGTACAGGTGTCACTCCATAATTAATGGAACAGGAAATGGCATAGCAAATGTGTTGCAGGAAATCCGAAGCCTAAATAAACTAGATCTCCTAAATCTTGCAATAATAGAAATCCTAATACTAGAAAGCAATAAAATCCTACTACTACCAAAATACTAATGCTTGGCTTGCACACCAAGCAATTCTAGAATGCTCCAAGTCTTGCGCGCCCCAAACCGTTCGGCCGCCTCTCTTGCGTGCGCGTTCGCGAGTCCTAGTCCTCAGCAGACTCGGCGTCTTGCGCACCGTCTTCATACGCGCACGCTGTCGCGCGTGCTTCCCCCTTGCCACGTCCCGCTTGCGCGTGCATACCCGCCCCCAGAACTCCTACGCCTGTTAGGATTGGGTCGCCCGCGCTTGCCCCGCACTCGCGCGCCGTCGCGCGCCCATCGCCACTGCTGCCCACATCCCGCGCGTCCTTGCCACCTGCGCGAGTGTCGTGCACGCCCGTCATGTCCGTGTCGCTCGTGCCGTCGTCCCGTGCCTCGCGCGTCGCCTCCAGCGCCCATGCATCCCGATCCTCTACCGCGCACCCGCGTACGCCCGACACCACCCGCGTGCCGCTAACCTCCGTTGCTGACTCGTCCGATGCGCACCATCGTGCTTTGCTCGCGTCCGGCATCTCGACGTCGCTCGCACGTGCACCGTCTCGACCCTTCGACCCTTTGCGCGCATCACAGCACGATGCGCGTTCTTCGCCCGTGCTCGCACTCTCGTCGCCAACCGACCTCAAGTGCTCGCCCGTTTCCTTTAGCTCTCCCGACGGCCATGGATCCCAACCATCCAACCCAATACAATCACCAGCTCGCCATATCCAACCATCCTCCAATCTTTGCCTACCTCCCCTTCGAGCCTCAATCTTGCGAACTCGCCTTTTCCTCGCACAAGGCTTGCACTAACACTTCCCTTCTTTAGCCTTCGCCTTGTCTTTCCTTCGAGCTCGTTTGGTTTTGCGTCTCTTAGGCTTAAGTTTAGCTCGTGGACCACATCCTTTCGGCCAATCCCTCACACATGATGGCCGGTAAATAGGACTAGATGGCTCTTCCAACATATTTTGTAGCCAAATATCGAGACCATCGCCACCTTCATCCTCCGACTCGCCTGGGTTGATGACCACTTCCGTATCATTCCCCTCCTCTTCGAGACTTTCCTTGTCCTCAAGGATTAGAAAATTCAGCGCTCCTTCATCTTCATGGTCATGAGCATCGATCACCATTGCTTCTCGGGCCTCTACGAGTTGTCGCTCGTATTCTTCTATGTTCCTTCGCTCATGAAACTCATCTAGATATGTTTTCTCCCATGGTGTGAGCTCTCTTTCCAAACCTGCCAACATCTCAAGGTCTTCCCAATCTAACTCATCCAATGGTGGGTAAGACATATTTTATTTTTTTTTTTACTCTAAAAATTCGAAAAACAATTCGAACCCAAAAATAAAAAATAAAAAATAAAACAAGAAGAAATTCGGCCCCTCAACAAAAGGTAATAACCGAAACAAAAAATCAAACAAAGGACTAACAAGATGACACTTTTTTTTAAGACTCAAATTCGAAAAATAAAAGGGAAAATTCGAACCAAAATTCGAATCCCAAAAAAATAAAAAGAAATTCGGCCCCTCAGCACAAGGCAAATCGAAAAAAAAAAAAAGAAAAAAGATAGATAGATAACAACACGATCAACACCTCTCAATGAAAGCACCAATGATGACGGATCGTGTTTTTATCTATACGTGGGTTGTGAATAAACGCGCACTAGGGCCTTCGTTCATCCACGATAGGTGTATCTAACAGATGCATTATCGGCCTTCTCCTAGACACTGTGACTTCAAGACGCTATAATGGCCTTCTCTCCGACACTGTATGTAAACACGCACTAACGACCTTGTTTAAATACACGTAAGAACAACAGTTCCCCCTCACAATTGGCTCACCAATTCAAGACTCAACATTCAACTCTACTAATTGTGGAGAGTACATGGGGTATTTATAGGCGCATAAAATAAATCTAAGCCTAAATAAACTAGATCTCCTAAATCTTGCAATAATAGAAATCCTAATACTAGAAAGCAATAAAATCCTACTACTACCAAAATACTAATGCTTGGCTTGCACCCCAAGCAATTCTAGAATGCTCCAAGTCTTGTGCGCCCCAAACCATTCGGCCGCCTCTCTTCCCGCTTGCCGCGTCCCGCTTGCGCGTGCATACCCGCGCCCAGCACTCCTACGCCTGTTAGGATTGGGTCGCCCGCGCTTGCCCCGCACTCGCGCGCCGTCACGCGCCCATCGCCACTGCTGCCCACATCCTGCACGTCCTTGCGACCTGCGCGAGTGCCGCGCACGCCTCTCATGTCCGTGCCGCTCGTGCCATTGTCCCGTGCCTCGCGCGTCGCCTCCAGCGCCCATGCGTCTCGATCGTCTACCGCACACCCGCGTACGCCCGACACCACTCGCGTGCCGCTAACCTCCGTTGCCGACTCGTCCGATGCGCACCATCGTGCTTTGCTCGCGTCCAGCATCTCGACGTCGCTCGCCCGTGCACCGTCTCGACCCTTCGATCCTTTGCGCGCATCATGGCACGATGCGCGTTCTTCGCCCGTGCTCGCACCCTCGTCGCCAACCGACCTCAAGTGCTCGCCCGATTCCTTTAGCTCTCCCGACGGCCATGGATCCCAACCATCCAACCCAATACAATCACCAGCTCGCCATATCCAACCATCCTCTATTCTTTGCCTACCTCCCCTTCGAGCCTCCATCTTGCGAACTCGCCTTTTCCTCGCACAAGGCTTGCACCAACACTTCCCTTCTTTAGCCTTTGCCTTGTCTTTCCTTCGAGCTCGTTTGGTCTTGCGTCTCTTAGGCTTAAGTTTAGCTCGTGGACCACATCCTTTCGGCCAATCCCTCACACATGATGGCCGGTAAATAGGACTAGACGGCTCTTCCAACATATTTTCTAGCCAAATATCGAGACCATCGCCACCTTCATCCTCCGACTCGCCTGGGTTGATGACCACTTCCGTATCAGCGCGCGGTACTAAGCTACCGCCTATCATTAACTTATATTAAGCTAAACATCATGATCAATGCTAAGCAACCCAAAGCCCATATCCTTAATAATTGCCGTGGGGAATTTTCACCAAGGATAAATCTTGGTGCAAGTTGTGTGGTGACTCACCTACTAGCTTGTAACACATGGCCCAAGCATAGCCTACGTGGGATGACTAAGCACGTGCATGCGCGCCACATCGGGTGATGACTAAGCCGACCACAAGCCACCTCAATACACGGCCGAGACATGTGGCATCATGGGAGAATTCATCATCTTTCACCTCCTTTGACCCAAGTTAATCCCAACAATTTTTACCTCTTTTTAAATAGCCATAGCCGTGAGTTTTTCCATGTATTTTGATGCAAAATCGAGACCTATATCAGCCTATAAACTGAGAGAAAGTAGTGAGAAAAATTAAGGGAAAAATCATACAATAATCCCCAAGAATAACCGAAGCTAAGGAGGAGCACACGCACAAGCATTCGAGTACCGAACACGCACGCAAGTCGCCGTGCATTTCTCGAGCAGTTCAAAGGGTATACTCCCTTATATCCTCTTTTCATATATTTAAGCTCATAGTAATAAGATCATGTCGATATCATGTTGTTCGATCCAAGTTTTTAGCACCCGGAGGTGCTATATAAGCCCTCCCGAGCGATTTCAAAATCTAACCGGCAAGTCCCGAGCAATTTTCGTATATTTAGTCATTTCAAGTCATTTTATATTCAATCATATGTGGGTTGCCGGAAAAAGTTGTCGGACGGCCAGCGAGAGGCCGACCGTGGTGCCTACCCGCACGCAGCGTGTGCATGGCACGCCCAGCAGTCCCAGCGGGCTCGCAGGCAGCGTGCACACGCCCAGCAGTGGGTGCGCGTAACCGGTGCCCAGTGTCCAGCAACGTGCTGTTACAGTTATGCGTGTAGGCGTGCGCAGCACACGCCAACACATACGACAGAACGTAATCAGCCCGTCCGCGTACGCAGCAGCGCGTCGCACGCCCAGTAGCGTACCCCGCAATGCCCGTACGCCCGCCAGCAGTGCTCCGCGCATGCTGGCCAGTGTCCACGCATGCCAGCACGCCCAACAGGGTGCCAACAGTGCTCAGCAGGCCTCGGCGTTGCCCGACAGCACATCCGAGTGCCCAGTCATCCCTGCACGCATAGCCCGCGTGCCAGTTGCCTGCCTACGGTGCACAGTAGCACCCGGCAGTGCCGTGCTTGCGAGTGCCGTCGCCAGTGCCCGCGGCAGTGGTCAGTCATGCCCAGTAGAAGTCGTTGGCCGTGCACAACAGCACGCCAGTGACCGTTGATGTGAACACGGCAAGAAGGTTGAAGAATGCGGCGAGCTACGCTTATCATGCACGGCGGAGGTTAAGCCGCCGGGCTGTCGAGGCCCAACTCGTTAGCGGGCATGCGCGCGCAAGCGGTGACGCGCGCGAGAATTTCGACCAAGGACGCGATAGCGCGAGTACGGCCGAGGGGATTCACGCGCGAGCATCTCTAACCGCGCAAGGAATAGGCGAAGCGGATGACGTGGGCGCGGGAGTCCGGCACGCGCACAATGACGGCTAGGGTTGGGCAATGCAAAGCGGATTCCATAGATTAGAATCCTTTTCTTTCCTTAATTACTAGTATGGTAGGATATCTTATGTCTATTGCTTTCCTAGTTTAAGTAGATTAGCCTTAGTGGAATAGGATTAGATCTTTATTTGGGCTTTATAAATAGGCGCAAGCATTGTTACTTAGGAATTAATTGATTCTTCTTAATACAAAAATCTGAACTCTTTGTTCAAACACTTTGCGTAGATTCCTTGAGTTCTATTGCAATTTTAATTGTTTCGAAGGACTGTGGACGCAAATCTTCGAGACCCTATCTCGATTTAAGGCACTTGCGTGGCTTGTCGAAAGGCCGAACACACGATCTTCATCATTGGTGCTATCATTGAAAGGTGTTTGATCGTGTGTTCTTCTTCCCCCTGATTCTAATTTTAATTTTCTTTGTTTAATCTTTCTTCGTTCAAAAAAAAAAACAACGAGTCCTCGTAGCAAAGAAAGAAAGAAAGAGATGAAGGAGATGGCCAACAAAAAGATGAAGGACAAAATCGATGGCCTTGATGCACGAGTTTCGGGCATGACCGAGACCATGTCTACCATGGGGGAAGAACTCGGGTCTCACAAGGTGGCTATGAAGGAGATGATGCAATTCATGACCCAAAAATTCGAGGAGATGAGGCAAAACTTTCAAGAACTCCAACAGCAGCCACGCGCTCACGAGCGAATTCGCACAAACGCACGCGAGCGTCTACGGCAACAGGAACAATAGTGGGAGCATGAAGAGGAGGAATTCGAGCAGAACTCGCAAGCGTCCAACATGCACGAGAGGCCGAGGGTTGACAAGCCAAAAATAATGCTCTCGACCTTCACGGGGAACGACCCAGAGGCATGCCTCAATCGGGCGATGCAATACTTCGAATTGAACGAGACGCCGGCGAGGCACTGGGTTAGGTATGCGGCCTATTACCTAGACGGGGAGGCCAACGTGTGGTGGCAATGGATCACAAGTGTATACGGGACCCGCAATCAACCGATCATGTGGAACAATTTTGAGAGAGAATTATTCACGCGGTTTGGAGCGTCAAGTTACCTCAACTATGACGAGACGCTCTCGCGTATTATGCAGACGGGCACTCTATGCAATTACCAAAAGGAGTTCGAGCGCTTGGCGTGTCGCGTACGAGGGTGGCCCGAGAGTGCCTTGGTCGGTGCATTCATTGGAGGACTTAGGTACGATTTGGCTGCCGAGGTACGATTGGAGCAACCAGACACCATGCAAAAGGCGATGGAGGTCGCTCGACGGTGCTATGAGCACCTGGCCGCAATGCGAAGGGGACGGGCAGATCTCTGCGCCCCGGAACCGTGCCGGGTGCCGATTAGCTCGAACACGTTCAATACAGGGGTCAAACCAACGAGCAACATTCGACCTCCTATTCCGGAGATCAAGCGATTGACGGTCGAAGAGATGGCTCAGAGGCATGAGAAGGGACTGTGCTTTAAGTGCGAGGAGAGGTTCACCCCGGGCCATAAATGTAAGCAAAATTTTTTGATCGAGTTTATTGACTCGGGTGATGAGGAGCAAGAGTTTGTGGAAGAAAGGGAAGAGGAAGAGGTCGAGGTGCTCGATGATGAGGCCGAGATCTCTGTGCACGCCATGGCAGGCACCAAGGGCCCGAGGACGATGCGATTGCCGGCGTGGGTGAAGGACCAACGAGTGATTGTGCTCGTAGACAATGGGTCGTCGCACAACTTTATTAATGCGATGCTATCTCACAAACTTAAACTACCCACGTCCATGGTCGAGCCGTTCGAGGTTCGGGTGGCTAATGGTGAGCGACTGCGGTGCTCGAAGGTGTACCTAGGAGTACCAATCAAATTTCAAGGAGTAACGGTAAAGGCGAACCTGTTTGCCTTGCCACTGGTAGGGCCGGATGTGGTGCTTGGGGTGCAGTGGCTCGAGGGACTAGGAGATGTGACGACTAATTACCGCAAGGGTGTGATGAAGTTCGAGGCCGGTGATCAGCTCGTTACTTTGAAGGCTAGTGAAGGGGAAACCAAGGAGGTTTGTCTAAAAAGCATCGAGAAGGTGTGGCGAGGTGGAGGGCAGTTGTACGCTGTCGTGGTCGAGCAGACTGGCGAGGAGTTCGACCAGGTGGTCGAGGAGAGGCAGCGCGAGGTGCGTGACTTGCTCGAGGAGTTTGACCAGGTCCTCGACGAGCCCAAGGGATTGCCGCCGCACCGGGAGTTCGACCACCGCATACCTCTGGTGTAACGCCCCGTTGGAATTAGAATTAATTGAGATTATTTATTGGTTTATTATTGCCATTACTATTGCTTATTTATATTATTATTATTATTATTATTATTATTATTATTATTATTATTATTATTATTATTATTATTATTATTATTAGTAAATATTTATTATTGTCTCTAAATGTCTAATTGTTTTAAATGCCTATTATTATTAATAATATTATTGTGTGTATTGTATAATATATATATATATATATATATATGTATATTATGTCCAGTTTTATTTTTTAATTCTTATTATCGCGTTATTCCGACCCAATTGAGATTATTTTCCAGCTTCATTTGTGGTTTAACAATTTTGAGCCTTTTGTGTTTATTTCTTGGACCATTAAGAGATAAATGTCCTTGGCCCAAAATTCATTTAATTCCTTTAGCCCAACAAGAAATCTGGCCCAAATAAATGAAGAGCCCACAGATCCCTTCTCCTTCCCAACCGCGCGAACCAAGTCTTCCTCCCTTATCTTCACGTTCAAAATTCAGGTCCGATTTACCCGTGGATTCCTCCTCCAACGGCCTGCACGTTCTCATCGTCTTCTTAAGACTCGATCGCACCTCAGAATCATTCAAACATCATCTCTCGATCTCTCTGTTTAAAAAAAAAAAAAAAATCGCCGCTGAACCTTTCTTCTCCGGCGGGCAAGTCGTCGACCGCCGTTCTTGAAGTGGCAGCCTTCCGTTTTCGATCAGCAAGGAGCAACCGTCGTCAAGGAAGGGTCCTGTCCAGTCGCCGTCCTCCATAGCCGAGAGCTTCAATTTCCGGCAACCAGCTTTGTCTCCGGCGAGTTCCTCCCATCCTCGGCGGCGTCCTCTCAATCACGCAGCAGCAGGTCGTGGAGAGCCTCTGTTCGTGGCCAGGTCATTCACGGACAACACCAGGTTCAAGATTTCGAGTCCCGAAGCCGATTGTCCGACCCGCTGTCGGGCCCGTTTCCCGTTCAATAATTCATAGTTTCCTGAAGTCGGGTAACTTATTCTAATCCTCTCGTTAATACGGTCGTTTTCATATATCACACGTTATATATATGATGTGTTCGGTTTACCGAAAGTTGATTTGAAATTGGATTATTTTTGGTTCATTTAATTGTTAATATGTATATTTCGTTCATACGTGGATTATCCGGGGATAATTGAAACTCTAGATCTCATAAAATCGTATATCCTGATGTTGCTGTGTTAAATGTGTATAAATTCAGAGTCTCGTTTAGTTATTTCGAGCCGTCGTTAGGTTGTTCGGGTCGTTCGAACTCCGGTCGTTCATTATGCTTTTATGTTTCGTTGTTCCGTTTTCGAGCCAAAACCGTTGTTAAAAATAAATTTTGGAACTCGGAAAATATGCTATTGTGGATAATCTCTTGAATTCCGTTGCCATTAGATGTGCCGTCGTCAAATCCGGTCGCCGAATTTCAACTCTTGTGTTGTTTTCACTTAGCAGCTTCTGTGATTTAGCCCAGTTTCTGTTGCTCTCAGGACTTATTATTTTTAAACTTCATTATTATTTATGTTCACTCAAATAAACAACCGATCGAGTGGTGCAGTGGTTTTCTGCGCACTCTTCTTAGTCGTGGTCACGAGCTTGAACCCCAGCCCCTGCAGTATTTTTTTTTTATTTAAGTGTAGCCCAAGCGCGCGGGCCGTTAGGCCCGGAATCAGCCCGCGCGCGGCCCGCAACCAGTCTGCTACCACAGCCCGCGTGAACCCGGTCCCGGCCCAGTGTTCGGCCCGCGCCCTCCAACCGCTGACCAGGCCCTCCTGTGGCCCAATTTTGGGTGCCAAGCCCAATTGTGCTCAAACATTGAAGCCCAGCCTGTAGCAGATTAATTTTCTAGTGGCCAACGCGGCCTAATTAGCTTTTAACCCCATTTTTGTGTTTCGAAGCCCATTTTAATACCGATTTCAATTTTAAAAATATTTTCAAAATGAGGTAAATTTAGAAAAATTATTTTAAGTCCCGAGACTCCAATTTTGGTCCTCCGAGTCATGTTTTTCAAAAATGAGAGAGTTCCAAGTCCACGAAAAATTCGATTAAAACCCTTAAGACTTAATTTTTATTAAGTATGGGTTTTATGTTAAATTTGAGTAATGAGATAAATTATTAATAAATTATCTCGCTTAAATGTAGGTGTTTGAGGAGTCGAGCCCTCATCCTACGTACTTGTGATTGTGTGCTATTTTTCTACCGAGCTATCCAGGTGGGTTCTAATCTAAAATCGTCTATGCCATGAATGATGAATGTTTTATTTACGGTATGATCTACGTATGAATATGAAATATGTAGCCTATCGATGTGAGCTGTTACGGCCGTCGGTACGGTTGTCCCCGTCGATGTAATACGGTTGCCCTTGCGAGGCAAGTCTCCTTAAGTCCTGATATGGCCGTGCCCTTGCGAGGTACGTAAGCCCATATGGAAGGCCATGTCCGTAGATGAGACAATATGTGATTATCTTATATTCATGTTGTGACCGTACCATTGTCATATATTATTTATGTGCATAGTAGTGAGCACTATTTTCATCTTGTGCTCACTCCCACCTGCTCTTCACGGATGCAGGTTAAGCAGGTGCAGGATGACGGGAAAAGACGAGTGGGTTGATCATGATGTTTATGATTTCGCTTCCTTATGAATAAAGTGTGGTCTTTGAGACATGTTGAACTGTTTTCGAACTTGTCAGTGTCGGGATTTTTGGACCCTTTGTTTGATACTCGTATGAGACTTATTTATTGATTATCATGTGGATTTGATTATGCTTGCTATGTGTTTTAGCTAATAATTATGTGGAATTGAATTTTTAAAAAAGGTTAATGAAAACCATGTGGACAACCAGATACGATTTGGTTGATGTTGAATGTTGAATGTTGAATAACGCCCATGTTTTCGAAAATGAGTTCGAAAAATTTTATACTGATTTTTGGAAAGTCCGGAATTTCTTTAAAATCAAAGTGGGGTGTTACAGTTTGGTATCAGAGCCAGTCTACGTTTCTGTAGACTGGCACATATGTGATTATGTGTTTAGACCTTGTGTTATGACCACTCGTCTCCGTCGCTCCGCGTTGCTTAAGGTATGTTTGATTTAAGTATTAATGAAAATACTTGATATATAAATGAAACACATGTGGCAATGAAACTACTTGTGGTATAATTGTTAATTTTGGGGCTTAGGATCTATCCCCCTTGATTTAATCAAACTCTAGTGTTTATTGGCGAACTCTAGACTTCTATAAGTATTGATTATTTTGTTTGTGTTTGTGCTAAACTTTGTTCGGCTTATTCAATGTAGAAGTATGAATACTCGCAACAACAACCGTAACCGTCAGCCATCCCCGACTCCTTCCCCACCTCGTCGTCATCATCAGGCCCCTCTGGCCATGGACCTCACTCAGCTTATCATCCAGTTTCAGAGGATGAATGCACCCACTTTTGCAGGGACTGAGAACCCCACAGCGGTGCAGGAGTGGATGAAAGAGCTGGATAAGATTTTTGCAGTACTCCCCCTCCCGGACCGTCAGCGGGTATCCCTCGCAGCTTATCAGATAAATGAGGACGCCTCTGACTGGTGGATTGACCACTGGGCCCGGAGGCCAGAGGCGGAGCTTCATGCCCTCACTTGGGAGCAGATGAAAGTGATGGTGCTCAGCAAGTTCCTTCCCCAGAGCTTTTGGGACAGAATGGAGCATGAGTTCTACCACTTGTAGCAGGGCAGCTCCACAGTGGATGAGTATATCCGTACCTTCACCCGCATGTGCCTTTTTGCGGGCGACTCAGTGAATACCGATGCCAAGAAGGCCCGCAAGTTTCTTAAGGGGCTCAATCAGAGGATCCGTGAACTGGTGGGGAGTCACGGACTGATGTCTTTCGCAGATACTGTCAGTCGAGCTCAGGAGGTAGAGAGTTGTCTCATTCCGATAGCCCCAGTCCCTTCATATTATCATGCCTCCCAGCCTTCTCAGACTGTTGTTCAGTATGCTCAGCCCATCTCATCCGTGCCGCCCGGCTCTAGTTCGGGCAAGAGGAAGGCAAATTCCCACCGGGATAACCGGAAGGGAAAGCGAGAAGGTCCCGACTGGCGCAATCATCCCTCTTCTGGCAACCGAACCTGCAAGAAATGTGGTAAGTACCATAGTGGCGAGTGCTTAGCCGACCAGCGAACCTGTTTCAACTGCAACCGTCCGGGCCATTATGCCAGTGTCTGTCCGGAGCCCAAGAGGCAACAGCAGTTCCCTCAGCAGCCGCCGCCGCCCTACCCTCAGCAGTAGCAGCTTCCCACCGCCCCCTCATCAGCAGCATCAGCAGCCCCCACAGTTCTAGCAGAGGGCTGGGGGTCAGGCCCGAGTCTATACCATCACCCATGATGAGGCCGCTCGCAATGCCGGCACCATGTCCGGAATGCTTTCGATATCCCATGTGCCTGTCTTTGCTTTATGTGATACCGGTGCTA